ATATCTTCATTCAGATTCTCATGTACACAGCTTAAAATAATAGAGGAAGCACACAGATACAGTTAATTGCTGGAATATTTATCAAAGTAGAATGTTTACCTGTAGTAAATTAAGAATCCAGTACAGTGTGGAGCAAGTTTTGCTGTATGTCTGCATTGAAACAAAGAGGTGCATATTTAATATACATATAGCGTTAATTGCTGGATCTAGTTTCCTATCACTAAGCTAAAAGACTTTAGTTGAAGTATGGGAGTGTAACTTTATTTTCAATAAGTTTCTAGGAACTGAATCAAGCTTAAGGGGCTCATTTTTGCATCAAATCGTAAAGGAGAAACTCCTATCTCTTGGTCTTGCTTCAAAACCCACAAGTGCATGCCAGTTACTGAATTAGAAAAGCCAACAAAATGTAAAAACTTAACTACCTTAATGATCTGAACGATGAGAAAAGCCACCCAAACGTAGACAAGGACTAATAATTCTTTCCAGTAGATGTTCTTTAGTAAAGGGACCTGCACACCAGAATTTAATGCAACTTATAAGGCTAAATAAAACTTCAATAAGGTTCCTGTGAGGAATGCCTTGGATGGCCGTTGGAATCACCTTCTCATCTCGTGGATCAGTCAAACCAGCTGGTAGTGGCTTATAGTCTTCTTCAGAATCATCTGCATTAAGGGTAGGGGCAATAATGTTTCAATGATATATAAGACAGATTTTTCACTAGATTTTTCAAATGATAATTATGAACTAAATAGGTTTCATAATCCTTGTGTGTAATGAACATCAATTTGTCAAGAGTTTTCAGTCACTTGTTCTCCGAAATGAAGTTGTACAGAATCATTTTCCTTATATTTCCTTCAGTTGTACGAATCACAAAAACTTGTTGTGAAGAAACTCAAATCAAGTTCTACATGTGATGGCAAAATAGTGAAAAAATGTGGGAGTCCCTGCTCTGTGAAATATGCATTCTCTATCCATTTAAATCCTGCAAGTAAAACCAAAAAGAAAAGAAGCCAAATTTCTCCCCTATTACAAATTTGAAACCCTGATTTAATGCCTAAAATAGACCCTGGTAGGAGAAATGAATATGTTCATACATTCTTATCTGATAAATCTTATTTTCTCTGTATTTTTTCAGCATTGTGCTTTTCTTTTCTTTTTTTGCTTCTTGTAGTTCAGATTTTGCAGTAATCTTTTAGGTAGTTGCTGAGATTTTCTCTCTATTTTCTCTATATTTTCTAAGAAGGTTTGCAGGGACTTACAACCAGGAAAAGAATCTGATTCCAACATCTTAGCTGCCTCCTGAAATTTCGGTAGCATAATCATCTTGATATCAAGTTAAAAACAACAGAGCTTCAGAAGCTTTACAGTGCATAGGCAAGTTTACCTTCTTCATAGTTGTTTCCTTTTTCCATGTATCTATGCCTTTGAACAAAGCTTTTGTGGAGGTAGCTACAACCGATTAATTTCATTAGAAATCAGACAAATTATTGTAAGATATTCAGAATAGAACAGTAAGTAAATCATGTCATGTGTACTATGTACCATAAGCTAGTTAATAATCTTAAAAAACTAGTAACATGTTGGCTACAAAAGATAGATTAACATTTTTTAAGATCCATGAAAATAGGATCTTAAATGAAGGAATAGCAGTTTCAGAAGAAAGAACGCACCCACACAGATTTTTGAGACTGCTCCAGGACAATTTAATAGTTTAAAAGGTTATGGCAAGTAAATGTTACCAATAAATAAGATGATGAGCAAAACCGTCACCATCCAATCAGCAAACATGACATTAAATGCAACACCAATGCTTATTCCTAGCATTAGCATAGGCTGGAATAGCAAAGCCAGATCATAATCTATAACTGGCAAATCTAGTGTTGGGTGTCTAAACCTCAGGTTATAATATACAGTTGATACCGCTGCTCCCATAATCATACCTGCAATTGCCAAATAATAACAGTTAAACACCCAAACAATATACACACACACACACATGAAGTTAGTCTCCAAATTGAGTTTGGAGCCAACGTATATTAAGTTTTGTAGATCAATAAGAGGATGTTTAAGACCCCTTCAAGCGTGGCCGTGTTTTACTTGTGGAAAACTAAAAAGAATAGAGCAATATACTAACACTTAGAAATGGCAGTGGAAGACTTAGCGTCAAAACCAATGATCAAAGTGAGCATTGGGATGAAAATTCCTCCACCTCCAACCCCTCCTACGCTTCCCAACGCAGCTCCAAAGAATCCAACGATTGACCCTACCAATATTCTCCAACCAAACTTCATCTCCTGCATTCAGACCAACATGAAAGGAATAAGTAACTACAAACATAGTCCATAATGTGTGAAAATGTGTTTGATAAACTCACCGGCCAAACACGGTCATTGGAAGAATCTCCTCCATCGTTCCAAAAGAAATCAATTATACTATTCAAAGCTCCATGTCTTTGTTTTGCAGAAAAACTCTGGTGGGTTTGGTTTTTCAAAACTCTTTCTGCATAACTCACATTGTAGGCCATGATAATGCTCCACGACACCAGCCATATTGCGGTTGCTGCTGCTCTTGAAGTCTTCTTTTTCATTTCAATGGCCATGGTAGATGGGTATGTAGAAAGACCAATGCTACACTTCTCTCTCTCTCTCTCTCTCACTCTCTCTCTCTCTCTCTCTCAACGTGTTTTTCTTTTTTCTGTGGTTATTTTTTTATGGAGGTTCTACAAGTATGGTTGATGGAGGAAACTACGAAAGCTAAGGACTAAGGAGTACATTGATGAATAGCATCGTTCTCTCTCCCTCTTTTAGGCCAACTCAATGTCACTATTTATCCTTGCCTAGCTCCTTCCTCTGTTCTGTAATGGCATCGATTCTAAAAGATTCTCTTCACAGTACTACTTTGTATGCACCCATGTCTTATGAAAGCCACTAGTAACATTTTGCCTTTCACACACTTTCCTTTTTTCGACCTTTTCTGTGATATAAACATTATTATTGAATAAAAAATTATTGCACGTAACAATTTATTAATTTTTTATCATAACTATTTTAATCTACCCTACTTAATTCTAGTTGATGGCTGACCCATTATTACCTACGGAAATGAATTTTTATAGGTTGAATGCATATAAATACCGTTGGACGTAAAAAGTTTGAAGACAAAGAAATAGTCAATTCGTGTTAGTTTGGATTTAACATGAATCTTATCCGGTCAAAGAATAAAGCAAAGATGGTGATACACAGTGCAGCGGCTATGGCTGCTCCGTTTTGGTCCAACATTTTCTTTTCATCTGAAGCAAATTGAAGAAAAGTGAATGTGACGAAATAGACATTGGAATATAAACACGAGATAATCAAAATCACAATATAGGAAGCTTCATTAAAGCAACGTAGCTCTCAAACCCAACAGATAAACACCGAAAAATTATGAAGCTTCATGGTAATTTCATTTTCTCTCAGTTTTCGTTTATCGTTTATTGACTTACATAGCAAAGCAACAACAGAAAGAGAAAACAAATAACATTGCTTTCTCTTTCCATAAATCCTGAAAACAAGTTGCAAGATGAAATAACCAAAGTCAAGCTCCTAAGGAACTTTCTTTTGCAATTATTATATACAGTATGAGTCCCCACTCCGAGGAACTATAAGGCAAAATCTGGGTATTTTCAATTCGTTAATTCGCCAATTATTTGATCGTTTTGCTCCCTCTGGTGACCAGCTTCTTTAAAAAGTTAATTTAACTTTTTATACAGTGAATTGAATTGAAAATTATTATTGACTAAAATCATACTTATATTTTATTAATATTAATCATTAATATTAGTAATTAAACTGTATGCGAATAAAAATTTATATTAAGTTTAATTTCATAATTCGATTTTTAAAAAGAGTCGTATTTAGAGAGTTATGAAAAATTGACAGCAATCATATTTTGTATTTGACTTATAATGAAAATTTTCATAAAATAGATTAAACACGGTCAATTCAAGATTTAAAGTTATAAATTCATTTTAACTTTAGAAATATAAACTTTGGTAGAACTTTACCAATCATATTCTCCTGATTAAATATATGTTCAATCAGTTATTCATATGTAATTGAAAGTTCAAGAATGCTTCCAATTTCTTGAATCTAGAAGATCTGAGGATTTAATGATAAGATCTCCAACTGATATATTCAAATCTATTTCCAACATTCAAAGTATAAGATTATTTGATTCAATCTCAAATTGAAGATTTTTTTACCTCTTGCCAGACATAAACAAAGTGGTGAATGGAGCTTCGGGATATTCCATTGAAGAGATGAAAGGTCTTCTGCAATAATAAATGTCTTTTTCCACATGATAGTTTGACAAGATACGTATTAGACTTATGTATAGACTTATGTATAGTTTACAGTAAGATTTTCTTTTCTTCTTTTATGTTATGCTTGTTTCTTTCAGATATAAAACTTTCACTTGTTCAGAGTAACTCTTAAAGTACAGTATACAATATTTGTGTTTAACTTTAGGATCTGTAGCCCTTATGTATATGTATAAAAATATCATATAATGGAAAAACGACCAAACATATGAATTTTTATTGCATCTGTTTCTCTTTATGTAATTATATATCTATTATGTAATTATCAACTAATTATTAGCGCATTTAATTATAGTTTGAAAGTGCGTTTATAATATTTACTATAATTGTAGATTTTGACTGTATGAGCCTGAATAGTTTAAATCAAAGTAAATCGGATCTTAAAATAGGTTGAAAAATAAACTATTTTTTTCTTAAAAAAAGTTTGAAATAAACATGATTTATTTTATATATCCTAAAGTGTAACAGTTGATTTCGTAAGTAACAAAATTTGTAGATGCAACAGAAAATTATGAATAACATAATAAGTATTATAGACTAACTCTTATCATTTTTAAAGCACCAATTAATTACATGTATAACCACCAACAATAACGTGGGTTAGACAAATCTTGCTAGTTATACCTAAATGGACTTTACACTTTTACCAATCTCTAAAAAATTGAACATAATGCCAAATCAGAAGATAAATCAACAATTAAAAGAATGTTACATTATAATAGCGCGTTGTAACGTGCATCTCAAACATACTAATAGGGCCACAAAACCAAATCATTCATTCCCCCATTTCCTATATAGTATGAGATCTCACTTCACATATACACCAACGAAATAGATAAAAAAAATAATAACAACCCCAGTGATAAAATTGTTGATGTATTTTTTACTTTCCTATGGTTGAGAACTTTTTTTGGTATTGTGACTTGAGATTAGCAAAACGTTAAGTAAGCGAAGGGTGACCCAAATTTAGCTGAGAATTGGTTCATTTGATTCAGCATTCCAAACTTAGGTTTAGGTTTCTAATGATAACCGATCTCCTTACTGGAAAGCTCACCACTGTCATTAAATTCTTGGCTCGACATTATTGCCTGTCTGAACTTTGCCATATCAGCATTGTATTGCATGGTATCATATTCTGAGCTTCCAGACGAAGAAGGGTAGGCACCACTATTCCCATTCCCTGTTGTAAGTTTCATTCCATCTTTTAAGTCTTCCAATGAGACATCTCCTTCCAGTGCTCTCACAATCTGCCCATAGTTAAGTCATACATACGTTAAATTAATACATATTCTTGTTCTGGTACTATCCATGAGGACAATATATACTTGGTAATTACAATGGTATAAAACAATAATCAACAGATCTAGGTGTATATATATACCTGGCTCATTTTTGAACGCTTCTTAGCAGAATGACGAATGCTTGCAGCTGCACAAGCTGCCATTCTTGTCATTTCCTGGGCATTGTAGTTACCTTCCAAAAATGGATCCACCAACATTCCAAAGTTGCCATCCTCCAATCCTTTATTCAGGAGTGGTCGAGCCTGCTCGGTACATATAGTTCTTTATTCACATTTGGATTGAAAAAAAAAAAAGTTGCAGGACAATATGGACGAACTTGGAAATATTTAAATGTGAATCTAAATCATACAATCGATAAAAATAACAAAATTAAATACTGTAAAAGAAAAAAAACTCATAAATCTAATATCTCAAAATTTTATATTAAAAACTTATGTGATATATATTAATCTTCTCTTAATAAACCTTTTTAAAAAGAACCATCATGTATATACTTTTATACTTTTGGGAGATTAATGGACTGTATATTTGAAATCTCTTCCAAATGATAAAAGGATAGAAATGTATATATTTATAGTTCAAACTATTGTAGATAGAAATGTAATATATAGTACTAACCCAATCCACTAAACTGTCTTCCATGGCATTTGTTGGATCTACAGGTCGTTTCCCTGTTATGAGTTCCAAAAGCATGACCCCAAATGAGAAAACATCAGACTTCTCTGTCAATTTTCCACTTGATGCGTATTCTGGTGCCAAGTACCTATTTTAATATACAAAATTAAACTATTCAGTTGGACTAATTAATGAATATGATTTTATGCCACTTGTTTTTTTTTACAGACCATGCATTGGAAAAGAATTTATTTTCTTTTCTATATGTTCTGCATGCTGAATGATTTGACATTGTGAAATCAACAACATCTGTGGTTATTTAAACAACAGTGTTCATGCAAATTATCTTATGCAAAAGCTTGTAAGTGTATAATGTTCAAAGACACTAGTTAATGAAGTTATTGAGTGTTAAGGATAACCACACACGATATATCGTGTATTCGGTCAGACATTGTACAAATATTTAATGACGTTATCACTTTTAAGGGCTGCTTTGACAAATTATGTCTATTTATAGAAAAGCACTTTGTATTTATATAAGAAAAACTATTAATATTCTTCTTTTCTACTTGCTTTATGGTTCGACAAATATTAGAGCGCGAAGAGAGAATTACCCGAATGTTCCCATGACACGAGTTGAGACATGTGTATTAGTATCAGAGGTCAACTTTGCAAGTCCAAAATCAGACACCTGACCAAGATGCACATTGGAGTGTAAACTTACTTGTATAATATGTGCGATATACGACTAAAGTAGTTAAAAAATAGTAAATGTATGTTGTTCAACCTTGGCTTCAAAGCTTAGATCAAGAAGGACATTAGAAGCTTTAATGTCGCGATGGATAATTCGAGGGCTACCTGAGTTCATTTATAAATGTTGCAAATATGAGAAAGACAATGAAGCAAAACAAAAAATATGATAAGCAGAAGAAATTGAAATGTAATGCTTACAATCTTCGTGAAGGTAGGCAAGCCCTTTGGCAGATCCAATCGCAATTCGCATTCTAGTAGGCCAATCCATGGTAGGCATACCTTTACCTGTGGCCATCAAATCATAAGCTCTGTTATTATTCATCATAAATAATCATAACAAGAAGTGTTTTCAGTACAAGAGTTAAAACAATAAATTATGTTGATACCATGAAGGTGATGTTCCAAAGTTGAGTTGGGAACAAATTCATAGACCAGCATTCTTTGGCCTCCACAAATGCAATATCCAACAAGTGACACAAGATGACGATGATGAACTCGACTGATGATTTCAATCTCAGCTTGGAACTCGCGTTCTCCTTGTCCACTACCTGCTTTTAGACTCTTAACAGCCACTTCCTTTCCATTAGGCAAAACTCCCTTATGGACATAACCAAAGCCACCTTGTCCAATAATCTGGTCATTGGCAAAACCTTTGGTGGCAGCTGCTAGCTCCTCATAAGTGAAGGTACCACTCTTGAGCGTGAGAGGAAGGCCTGGCGATGAGGAACCCATACCCGCTGAATAATTAGAGCTCATATCACCACTGCTCATTTGAGGATGTGATGTTCCCCAGCCACCACTAGGAGGACCCATTCCCATTCCCATCTGCATCCCCATCTGCATCCCCATCCCCATCCCCATCCCCTGTTGTTGTTGCTGTTGTTGAACCCTCACAACATGCTCCCCCATATGAGGACCAGCTCCTGGTTGCCAATGAGGAAGAGATTGTTGTCCAGTGTTGTAATAATTGTTAGCTGAACAAATCATTTTATACCTTATTAATCATCAATCACTAACTTAAACCCAATGTTATTTCAGACAACGTAATTATCAGATGAGAATCTGAATACAACATCTAAATTCAAATGTTACCTGCTTTTCCTTTAGAAGGAGATGCGTAATAGTAGTTTTTATTCTGCTTTCGCTTCTTCCTCCTGCAACACCAAACCAAACACACAACGAGCAACACCAGAATGACAAACCCAACTCCGATCCCAGCTCCCAATGCTGCTTTATTGGTGCCATCCTCGTTCGTTGACTCTGTCAGCTTTTCATGCGACAGCGATTTATGTGCCTCTTTGGTCGGTGGTGAATGAGTGGACGACGATGAGGAACCTTTATGTGATCCATTTGATTTATCGGGCGTGGCATTGTCGGGCGTGGCATTGTCCGGTGTGGAGTCATCGGGAGTGGAGTTGTCGGGGGTGGAGTCGTCGGGGGTGGAGTCGTCGGGGGTGGCGTCATCGGGTGTGTTGTTATGGGGTTCAGATTTCTTATTAGGGGAAGACATTATTCCTTGGGTTCCGGCGAAATGGTTTATACGTTGAAACCACGAAATGCCGGAACACCAGGATTTCCCCTCCTTTTTTTTCACGAAGCTTGAGCCCTGTGAACAAGAAAAGAGATTAAAAGAAAGAAATGAGAAAATGGTTTGGGAAGAGAAATGATAATACCTGGAAGGATTATCGAAAGAACGAAATGGAAGAAACTATTGCATTGGTGAAAAAGTGGTAATACAAAAGGAATCGATCACAATTCCTTCCCTACAAAGGAGGGCCCTTAGCACCTCTTATTTAGTTCATGTCATTTATAGATTTACCATTTTCTGACTGGTCTTTATTTTATCATCAACACCCATCATTTCCTTCTATCATCCATCTTACCTTACAAATTTTAACCACAAATAGATTTCTCAACCTCCCATCCCATCCCCCAAATTTTCAATTCCAAATAAACCTTTTCATTATATTTTTCTTCTCTGCTTCTTTTGCATATCTTGTAACTTGTATGGCTAGAAAAATACTCATGGAAAACAGTTTTACCTGTTATATACGTAAGTGCCAACCTTAATTATTAAATTTACAAAACTTATGAGTGGCTAAATAAAGAGAGAGAGAAAATCTAAACATTAGTATATTGAATGTTAGATACCATAAATGATGATGCACAATATCAAGATCGTGTTTTTTTATGGTATTCAATATATTGCATAGGTTTCCTTCTCTGTACGAGTCTTAAACATACATTTTTGAAAATATATCTTTGTTATTTCTATCATTTTGTGTTAAAGATGCTTCAGAATTAAGGTTATAACAATTTCAACAGCTTTATAATTAACTAACTTCAATTTCTCTCCATTTTATTCTTCATTTGTAAAGTATGTTACAAAAATGTTAAACTAATTAAGGTTGAAGATCAAAAAGATGAAGTTCAATAAAACTTGTATACATTCCAATTTTTTGTAAAATTCAAATTCAATACAGAATGCACTTTCTTTTTTAAATTTCTTTTCCAATTAATAGTCTTTAATTTCTCTTGTCTTTAAATACTGCCATTTAATTTGTGTTTGCCTTTAATTTTTGTTTCTTTTATCTTTCTGCATTACCGTTTATGTTTCTTGTCCAATTTGTGGTATTTTTAATTGCTTTTAAATTCTGCAGCTATCTCTTATTGTTCTTGATAGTTGAAGAATTGCTTTAAAGTTTTGTTTGTTTTTATAACT